AGAGAGAAAATGAGGGAGAGAGAGAGAGAGCGAAGAGAAAGAGAGAGAGACAAAAGACAGAGGCAAAGTGGGAGAAAAGACAGAAAAAAGAGAAAAAGAGAGAGAGAGGAGTGAGAGTATAGAGAGAGGGAGAGAAAGAGAGAGAGGGAGTGAGAGAAAAATGAGAGCAGGAGAAAAAGAGGAAGAGGGAGATAGAGAGAGACAGAGAAAAAGAGAGAGAGATAGAGAGTAAGAAAGTAAAAGAAACAGGGAGAAGAGAGAGAGAAAAAAAAGAGAGAGAAAGACAGACAGAGAAAAGAGAAAGAGAGGGAGAGACAGAGGAAAAAAGAGCAAAAGAACAGAGAAAGAGAGAGAGAGAAAGAGAGAGAGGAGAGCAAAAAAGAAAGAGAGAGGGAGAGACAAAAGAGGGAGGCAAAGAGGGAGAAAAGAGAGAGAAAAACAGGAAGAGAGAAAATGAGGGAGAGAGAGAGCGAAGAGAAAGAGAAAGAGAGAAAGAGAGAGACAAAAGACAGAGGCAAAGTGGGAGAAAAGAGAGAGAAAAAAGAGAGAAAGAGAGAGAGAGAGAGAGAGAGAGAGAGGGAGTGAGAGAAAAATGAGAGAGGAAGTAAAAAAGGAAGAGGGAGAAGGAGAGAGAGAGACAAAGAAAAAGAGAGAGAGGGAGAGAAAAAGAGAGAGAGACAGAGAGAGAAAGAAAGCTAAAGAAACAGGGGGAAAGAGAGAGAGATAAAAAGAGAGAAATAGAGAGAGAAAGAAACAGGGGGAAGGGGGGGCAGAGATAAAAAGAGAGAGAGAAAAAAGAGAGAGAGAGACAAAGAGGGTGACAAAAAGAGAGACACGGAAAAGAGAGAGAGGTGAGAGAGAAAAGAGGGAGAGAAAGAGAGAGAGAGAGAGATCTGCTAAAATAGCATCTTTATATTTAAGGTTTCACTAAAAATTTTGCCTATTTCCTTTTCTTGTTTTTTTCTTTCTTGTTTTTAATTGGGTGAAGTTTCTATTTGACTTCCTGGTTGGACACGAGCAGCAGATGTGACAATTTTATAACTGCACAATATTATTTAAAATATTCGATCTTTAATTTTCTACTAATGTAACTTTCCGTCTCCGAATTAACCTGATCACACAGGTTTAACCAACGCTGAACGCACGTCTTTAAAAACGTCACTTGGCTTCAGTAGATTCATGTGGATGATTTCAGCCCCACGATCTCTGAACAAAATGTAAACAAACTTGAAAACGATCACTTCATGACATCACAAAGTGGAACAGAGCCTTTTGAGCTCGGGAGAAGGTGACAGACTAATAAACCAGGATTACTCGAACATGTGAGAATGAAACAAAACACAACTCCTCGTTTGTTTTTGAGGAGGTAACAACATTCTAACATAGGACATAACATAGGACTTTTAATATTTTTCAATCATTTACACAGTTAAAAAAAAAAAAAGGAAAAGGAATAAACTGAAGCACTGTTGTTTACACTATTAAATAAATTCTAGTAAAGTAGTAAAAGAGCTTTACATAAACACAAGTTCACAAACAAAACACAAATAGTTAATATAGTAGATTATGTGTACTGACTATAGACCAGAGGTGGTAGAGTGGCCATAAATTGTACTCAAGTAAGAGTAATGTTACTTCAGAATAATATTTCTGAAGAAGAAATGTGAAGTAGGGCTCCAAGAAATTACTTAAGGAATAAAAAAAAAAAAAAAGCATGTGGAAAAAAACTAGTTAAGTAATTTAAAGAGTAACTATCAGAATATAACATCTGATTTAGAATTTGAAGTTAAAGGTTGTATAGAGGATTTTTTTAAGGGAAGAGAAATACAGCGAGAGTCCTTGTGTGTTCAGAATCACCGTTGAAGTTTCCTGTCTAGAGGTAATTTATCGACCCCTCGTCTGCTTCAGTCGCACCATCGGTGGAAGGAGTCTCCAAGAATCACCTCAATTTGTCTTCGCTCCTTTTTCCCTTCCCTTTTCTTTCAGCGACCTCAAAAACTGACTTTCTTTTGCGGCGAACTGGTCGTGGATTCTCGTCCGCCGTCTCAACAAACTCTGTGCGAAAAGCGAGGAAGCGACAGTTTAAAAAAGCCTCTAAGAACCGCTGCATAAACCACATAATCCCCAAGCGCCGGCGAGTCACTTACACTAGGGAATTTGATTGACAACCTAACAGCCAATAGAAAATGAGGGAGTCTCGTTTTCTATTGGCTGATGTTTATCTGGCCTCAACACGTCTACAGTTGATGGATTTTCATTCTTTTTTTTTTTTTTTGATCATCATAATTGCAAAGCTGCTGCATCTCTGTAATGGTATTTTAAACTTTCATTGACAATTTGAAACAAACAAACAAACAAAAAAAATCCTCCATACAACCTTTAAATAAAGCACAAAAGACAGACACAAAAATGAAAAACAAAAAAAGGAGAAGTGCAATAAAATACAAATGTTCATAAAATGTCATACTGTCAACAAAAAGCTTTTGTCATTTGTAAACTTATGGTACTCACAGTCTGAAAAGTAACCAAAACCTTTACTCAAGTCAAAGTACTGTTACTTCAATAAAAAATAGTTCTAAAGTAGGAGTAAAAGTATTCTGCTAGAAAAGTACAATTTCTTTCAAAGGTTACCCAAGTAAACCCCCCTCATTGGCACATTTGTACTTGAGATATTCTTTTAAAGTCATTTTCCACTTCATTTTACTTCATTTCATGAGTCACAAAGAACTGAATGCACATTTTTTTAAAAACGTCATCTCAAATGTGCCGCATGTTTATCTTAAAGTCTTGGTTGAGGTTCAAGTAAAGCACAAAACATGAAGGATCATAAACTTAAAGGACCAATATCAGACTAATTTTGTGTTTTTCTCATCACAAACAAACCTGGAGTTGTGTTTTGTTTCATTCACACATGTTTAACACACAAACCCTGAATATTTAGGCTGAATTCTTCTCTCACTTGTGTTGTCAGGAAGTGCTCCACTGTGTTTTTAAACTCCACACACCTTCATTAGCCCTAGAATTGTCAATCTCTGCTGAACAAACGGTACAGACTAATAATAAAAACTTACTCAAACATGTGTGAATGAAACAAAACGCAACTCCTGGTACGTTTTTGATGAGATAACAGCATTATAACATGACTTAAACCTCACAAGAGTCAATTCTGTGTAATATAGGACCTTTAAGAAGTACAGAATTTCTTAAGATACTGAAACAAAGTCACGCAAATTAACGTAAAAGCAACAACACAGCACAGCTTCTGTCACACAACATGCAGTTTCATAATATAATCTGACAGAATTTCAAGCAACCACACTGCAAAAGGCAACATCTAGGTTAAGTTAAAGTTAAAATGACTTAAATTAAGAACAATTTGACTTTGAGTAGATTCGGTTTGACAAGTAAAATGATCTACCAATGGAGTACGTGTGTTTTAGTAGAGTTTGTTTCTTATTTTGAGTGTAAAGAGTTGTTGTTTGTCTTATCTTAAAGGTGCACCGTCCTGCCTGTTACTTTACCTCCAGTATTTCAAAGTGTGGCGTTAAACTTTTCAATCTCCATAGAAACCACCAGCACAATTTACCGGCAAGATCTATGAAAAGGCGATCCCACTCACAGTCAGAATGGATGTTCTTAAAGGTATTTTTGAGCAATAAAAACACCCATAATCGAATAAATGCATCTTTTATAAGTTTAATACCATACTGTGGAACATTGCGGGCAAAGCAATAGCATCTCCATGGTTGCGGAAAAGTTACACAGTGCACCTTTAAGTGTATCAAGCTCTATTTTCATTTCATATTTAAACGACAAAACAACATTGGTAGATCATTTTAATCAAATCAAGATCTGAGTTTGAGTAATCTTAAAGGTGTGCTGTGTAACTTGTTTCGTGGAGGGTCCATCATCTGCTTGTCTCCATGGAGATGTGCTTAGAATGTTCCACAGTATCACAATAAATGTATGAATCTCCAAAGAGCCAGATTACAGGTTAGATTTAAGGAGAGATGACCCTACTTAGAGTAAGAATTAATATATTTTTTTTTTAATATATATATACATATACACTACTGGTCAAAAGTTTTAGAACACCGTTCATTTTTCCATTTATTTATTGCAGTTCAAGTCGTGGAAGTCCAGTGAAGAGCTTGAAATGGTACAAAGGTAAGAATTGAACAGCCAGAGGTTAAAATAAAAGATAAAAGATACAAAACACAAGTCCAAGCTCTGCCCAAAACAACCTCAAGAAAAAAGAACAGGATGATAAAACTTGAAAACATGAAGTGTCCAGCACAGACTTTAGACCTAAACCCCATTGAGCAGGTTTTCGATTGAACTGGACAGAAAAGTGAAAGCCAAGAAACCTACAAGTGCCACATATTTATTAGAACTTCTGCAACAGACTTGGGAAGAACTTTCTGAAGAATATTTGATTTCTATTGTAAAAAGAACGAGCCATGAGTGTGTTCAGCTGTTACATCGGCCAAAAGTGGACACTATCATGAATCAAAAAGTTTAGAATACGTTTTGGTCAGCAGTAAACAGTAAAAAACTGGAAAAAGTGTGGTGTTCTAAAACTTTTGACCGGTAATATCTACATTTTTCGAGCACTTAAACACCTGTAGCTGAATAAATGCAAGATAGATTTGTTTAATACGATTCTCTGAACAATTTAAACCGAAGCATTAACATCTCAAACAGGTTGCAAACCCCTCCAGAAAAGTTACACAGTGCACCTTTAACTTACACTGCAAAAACGAAAATCTAGCCAAGTGAAGATGAATTGAATTAAGAAAGTTTTAAGAAGAAACTTTGTAAAATGATCTGCCAATGGAACGAGACTTTTTGACACTTAAATATGAATCTACTCAAGTTGAATGAAATAAAGTCATATGTTCTTCGTTTGAGTCATTCTTTTAACGTACCTAGACATTACTTTTTGCAGAGTACATGCAGTTTTTGGAGTCCATGCGTGTATATATAATCGTAGTACTGACCAGTTTGCTTCTGCAGGGCTCCCACTCCCATCCGCATCACCTCACACATAACAGACACCACCATGGACAAAGCTCTCCAATGCATCTGGGCTACTGGAGCACGCGCCCGTTCACCGCCAGACTGGGGACATGGGGGGCGCCAGGTTGGACGTATATATCTCCCCCTCCAAAAAAATCGCCAAAAAAAAAAAAAGAAAAAAAAAAGAGTTTAAAAAGCTTCGAACAGTCTTGAAATATTGAATACTTGTGGAAATGATGTTGAGATTTCTGAATTCCGAATTTTGGATAAAAGATGAAGAAGAAGAAGCTGCGTTGTAGTCCAGAGAGAGCTCGCTTGCGTCGCGCGGACTGGCAGCAAGCAGGATACGCTCACCATCTAACTACCTCTGTCAAATTTGCAATAAAAGAGCCCCCACTTATCCCATAGCCATCTTTAACCCTTTAGGCGTCTTTAAGTAGTTCCACATTTCCGAGCTCATGTCTCCTCCCTCCTCCTCCTCCTCCTCTCCTTCTCCTTCTCCTTCTCCTTCTCTCTCTGCTCTGCTACCTCCACCGCTTTTATTATCCTTGTTTATTTTTTGGGCAAAGATCTCGCTATTTGCTCCTCATAAATAGGGGGTAGTTTGAGACTTTCTTTTTGAATCTCGTTTGAAGACGTGACCACCCCGGAGAAACAGAGAGAAAAGGCGGTTTACGACGTGATTGGGGTTTGACATGTCTGAGTAATCCATTTGTTGTGCTTGTTTGCTTTGAGGAGGCAGGTATGAGGCTGGGGGGCCGTGGGGGTCTCAGATGAGGAGATAAAGGGAGAGTTAAGTGAAGGAAATGTAGTCTGTAATCTAGTTTGGCTCAAGCAAATGACTTCAAAATGTACGGCTTGATTTTGAATACAGATTGTGTTTCAAGATTGTGTTTATTACGCTTTTTTTATGATCTATGTTTTAATGCTGTTTCCATCGAAAACATACCTGGAGTCCTGTTTTGTTTCATTCACACATGTTTAACGCACAAACCTGGCATATTTAGTCTAGTTAGTTCTTGACTCAAAGTGAAAACACTCCACACACAACTCCACACACCTTCGCTAGAATCATCTGGATCATTTCAGCTCTGGAATTGCCAATCTCTACTGAATTTAAAGGGACAGTCTGGAAGTTTGGACACAGGACCTCGTTTCCTAGTGAGACAGAGTGTTGGAGACGTGTGGAGACACTTTTAAAAAAATATTCCATCCAGTCCTTGTATTTGCAGAGGTCGCTGGTGCTAGGCTAGTGCATGTCAATGGCCATAGTTATCCTGCCCCTAAAAACAATCTTGCCCACTCCACAAAACACCTGAAGCAAATCTATTATTACATCCAGACTGTCGATGTAAATGTCTGTGTCGATAGAATAATTTTAGAAGTAAAACCAACCTTGCATTTGAAGGATTTATGTCTGAGCAGCAGCAGCGGTGAGTTGTTCTTCCTGACAGAAAGCTTGGCAGCGGCGGACTGATATATGAGAAAATAGTCCCTCAACATGCGACGATTCATGCGATGCAAGGTTAGTTTTATTTCAAATATTATTCTATCAACACAGACACTCACTACAGTCTGGTGTAATAATACATTTTCTTCGGGTGTTTTGTGGAGTGGGTAAGACTGTTTTTAGTGTCAGGATAACTATGGCCATTGACATGCACTAGCCTTGCATGGGGATGGAATATTTTAAAAAGTGTCTCCACACGTCTCCAACACTCTGGCTAACTTGGAAATGAGGTCCTATGTCCCTTTAAGGTAAAATGTAAGTGTTCACTCTAAAAATAGGCCACTTCATGACATCGCAAGGTGGAACGGAGAATTCAGAGCTTTTTAGATGTAAATAGACTAATAATAAAGGGTTACTCAAACGTGTGAATGAAACAAAACTACGGAAGCCAAGAGGGGTCACAACAAACGCAAACGTCGCAACAAATACAAATGCGACAACACAACAAAAAGCCACAACAAACAAAAAAAAAGCCACAACGGAAATGACCGCGGGACTCTATTTTAATGCAAACGCCACAACAAATACAAATGCCACAACACAAATGCAAATGCCGCAACACATTAAAAAGCCACAACAGAAGTGACCGCGGGACTCTATTTTCCGACAGACCGATCAAGCGGCAAGTGAAGAAGAAGAACTACAACGTGAAACGAATAATGATAAGATAATAAATTACTTTTACTTACATTTCCAACTTCTCCGTTCCTTTACTTTTCCGTCGGAAAATGTCGTGTTGTCGCATTTGTATTTGTTGCGGCATTTGCGTTTGTTGTGACCCCTCTCGGCTTCCGTACAAAACACAACTCCAGGTCGGTTTTTGATGAGGTAACAACATTATAACATGGCTTAAAGCTCACGAGATAAAAGTGAAAAAAGCTCAGATTGTCGATGTCCAAAAGCTGTTTTTATTTTTAAATAGTTTCGACCAAAAAAGCCTTCGTCAGATATTTTTCTTGCTTTGGAGCACAGTATACACAGGTAAGCAAGAAAAAATATCTGGTGAAGGCTTTTTTTTTGCTGAAACATAATAAAAAAAAAGCTTTTGAACATCGTCCATCTGAGTGCGCTATGCAGTTTTTTCAATTTTATTTTGCTGTTCCACGCATTTGCACCTCTACAAGAACTTTAGAGTGCGTTTTCTGTTTCATTTGATTAAAGCTCACAAGAGTCAATTTTGCGTAATATGGGATCTTTAATTGGAAAGGCCCCATTGAGATTCAGAGATCTGTTTTTCAAAATGAGTCCTGACCAATGAATGGAGTTTAAAAACAGTGGAACAAGTTGTTTTCTGCTTGAGAGAAGAACTCAGAAATAAAAAATATGCAGAGTTTGTGTGTTAAACATGTGTGAATGAGGAAACATTATAACATGCATCAGATAATAGCATAATATGGCCCTTTGAATAATTCAGAACAAACCATGACAGGAAAACGTCACTCAAGTATTTATAAGGAGACGTTTTAGTAAATATTTTCTTTCGGCGATTTCATTTTCTATTACAAAACCTTTAAATCATATCCGTAAACATCGTTGTCATTGGAAAACATTTGCATCCAAGCGAAAATTCCATCATCAATTATGGCAGCTTTGGAAGAAAAACGACAAAAACGCATAAATTCTGCTTTTGATTTGAAGCGTGCCTGTCTGTGATGTCTTGTTTTCGTGGCCAGACTATTCTGTGGTTTTAGGTCTGACTCAAAACTTTATTATTAACATGTCATCCCCGAGTCGTTACTGTCACCGTATTTCAAATGACGAAGGGCCAAAGTAATGTCTCAATTTAGGCTCATTTTCTTTTCAAATAAAAGTGAATGATTGTCCCGCAGCAGCAGCCAGGGGCTCCTCAAAGACCAGACGTGGGCTACAGGGGTGTAAATCGTCGATGTGTCTAAAGATGGGCTTCCCGAACTTTTGTCAGACCTTTTCTTTGAAAGACGCTGTTGTCACATATCAAGAGAAAATCTGTCAGAAATACAAACAATGCTCTTTGATCAGAATGTTGGAGTGTATTCTCTTTTGTAATTTTCTTTTTTATTGTTTCTTAAAGGTTCTATATTACATAAAATCGTTAAACGTTAACAGCGACCTTTTACCGGCATAAAACTTGCCTATTTAATTTCAGTACCCAGTCATCAATAAAATACAAGATCTTCACTTTAAGATCTTACATACATTTTACCCTACGAACACGTTTTTATCGAGCTTGATTCATCAGCCGGGTTCACTTTGTGGAAACCGTCTGACCTCGCAGCATTAGGATTTCTTCACTCGATGGTAGGTGGCTACTTTTTTAATTTAACCTTTTTGATCGTGACGTATGTAATGCGCCAAATCCCGTAGGAAGAAGGGCAATAACGTCTTTCCCCTTGATAAAATTCACCAAACATTCTCTTTGCTCCGGCTTTAAATCCTCGATCTCGTGAATCGTTGCAAACACAAAATGTCTGGCTTCGTCTACATCCATCTCGACCACTTTGTTTACTGTTGTGCTCTACCACAAAAGGGACCCAGACAGGCGCTTGAGTTTGACGTCATGGCTTCACAGCTCTTTGCTGATTGGCTGGAGCGTGGTCTACAACTTCTGGGGTTCTTGCAAACCGTCTAGTGTATTCTGATTCCTGACCTAGTCGCTGGAGAGAAATGAAATTGAGCGGAGGCACCAGGTGGCACCAGCTTGGCAATTTTTTATCTACATTTCTCCAAATGAATCCAAATTGCAACTTCTGTCTGGCACACCCCGAAAAGGTTATTCGTTTATTTTTCTCATGCCCAGTTAGCTCCATCTACTGGAAACAATAAGAAGTTTTTTTCCCTCAGAATTTACATATCCCAATAACCCTGAAAGAAGAAAACATCATTACACACTATACACATCAAAATGCAAAATTTGAAAAAATAATTAACTTATTTATACTTCTTGGCAAATAACATTAGCCATTTAGTGCCTCTGCTCAATTTCATTTCTCTCCAACGATTAGGTCAGGAATCAGAATACACTAGATGGTTTGCAAAAACCTCGGAAGTTGTAGACTGCACATCGGCCAATCAGTGAAGAGCTGTGAAGCCATGACGAGAAATGCAAGCGCCTCTCTTGGTCCCTTTTGTGGTACAACGCAACAGTAAACAAAGCAGTCGAGATGGATGTAGACGAAGACAGACATTTTGTGTTGGCAATGATTTCTGAGATCGAGGATTTAAAGCGGGAGCAAAGAGAATGTTTGGTGAATTTTATCAAGAGTAAAGACGTTATTGCCCTTCTTCCTACGGGATTTGGCGCATTACATAAATCACGACCAAATAGCAGCGATTGGTTAAATATAAAATGTACCCACCTACCGTCGAGCAAATGAATCCTAATGCTGCGAGGTCAGACGGTTTCCAAGAAGTGAAACCGTCTGATGAATCAGGTTAAAATATATTCATAGAGCAAAATTCTCAAAAAAAAAAATAAAAAAAAATAAAAATGAAGCCTTATTTTCCATTACTGCTAATCAAAATAAATCATTATTTTCAATCGGATCATCACTTATCCTGTGAAAAAGCCATTTCAATAACCAACCAATGGAAAGAATTAATACACAATCTGTCCTAGAAAACATGACAGAACCTCTATTGAAAAGGCAAAAGGTAATAAAAAATAAATAATAAAATAAATAAATAATTACAAATGGGTTTTATTTCTCTGTTTTGTCCATAAATCAAGATAGGAACAGTAATAACAAACCAGTCCTGTGCGTGCTTTCTCTGAAGTCGCTCCCGATCGAAAATCGACCATTGAATTGTGGCCTAAGTGTGATTGTAAAGCGTAAACCCCAGTCCCATGAGT